AAGGGCTTGCCTCGACGCCGCCTCACGGGTGTGCTCGGTCGCCCAGGATTGGTCGTCAAGAGCGGGGGCTCCGCACTCGTATAACAGAATAACCTACTCAGGGTTCCGCGAATTGCACAATATGAGGAACCGCTGACCTGAGCATACTGCAGCAGGGAGCAGTACGTGCCTCGAAAAGAACGGTGTACACTACCATGTAAAAGCGGGGATCCACTAAAAGCATCCATGGAAGAAGCCAGGGACACGGGGTATTTCCTTCAGCTGTAGTACCGTCATAAACGGAACAAAGTTTGCGTGGTGCTGGAACAACAGCGGCCTTCGAAAGACGAGAGACAGGCAAAATCTCCCCCCCCCCCTACACACACACAAAGACAACGACGAAAAAGCACGCACACTGACCTGCTAACTGCCGTGTTACGATTGCATCAGAAGGGACAATTGGGCGTGTTGGTACACTTCCATCTTAAACGAATATTAGTGCGACAAAAACAGGGACGGGAAAGAAAAGACAAACATCAGCCAGTCTTCCCTAACACTATCTGGTGCAGAAGTTTCTTATCTCACAGATAGCGTGCACGTTTCATTGGCCACAGCGATTTATAGAGTTTTGTCATTTTGACCGTGCACGGTGGTTCTTTTCTTGTCTTTGCTTTTTCAGATGTTATATATTCCGCTTCTTTTAGGAACAGCGCTGTTGTTTGTCTTTTCTTTCCCGTCCTTGTTTTCGTCACGCTAATATTCGTTTAAGATGTGTTACGATTGATTTGATTTCATTGATATAAGTGTTTAACATCCCAAAACCAATATATGATTATGACAGACGCCGTAGTGCAGGGCTCCGGAAATTTCGGCCGCCTGAGGTCCTGCACCCAAATCTGAGCCCACGGTACTACAGCATTGTCGCCTCCATCGACAATGCAATGCAGCCACCGCGCAGTGGCGATTCGACCCCGCGACCTGCGGTTGGCCGCTGGTGCGTGACTGTTTAATATTGTCTTTGATGCGAGCGCTGTTCTCTTCCAACGTGCTGTATACGATGAAGCACCGTTGAAATATCCATCCTACTTTAGTTCAGTGCTGCACTTCATTGATTAATCGATATCATCTATTAGCGGCATGAAAAAGCAGACCACACCAATAAAAAGAAGCACGTTCACTCGTTTTCTTGATATTCTATCAGTGCGGTAGCCCTCTTCCTATTACACTTTTCGTCGTGCCTCGTGATGAGATGGCTTTTCCAATACTCATCGCAAGCGGCTAAATAATAGCAACGCTCACAGCAGTCATGGTAAACGCTGTTTCAATCCTAAAGTAGCTGGGTAATTTTTATTTGTGTGTGTGTGAATGAACACAGACAACAACATCGAGCAGTGGCTAAGCTCGGCTAAGACAGGATATATGTAGCGTGAGCTAAGGCGGTGCCGCTAAACTCAACGTTTCACGCATGACACTTAGTACCGGCGTCAAATCCTTCCTGTTTCACAGTATTTCACACACGTCGCACACATGTGGAAACGAACTGTTTGCTAAGTTCATCCGAAAAGTCGGAGGCGCGCTTTCGGTAAGTTTCACCGTAAACTAAATCAATCAGCCTCAAGACGAAGCCGCTTTGCTAGAAGTTCCTGCCTTTGCTCCGGTGTCTCCGCAGCACGTTTAGCCTTTTTCCGTTCGTTCTTCCTACGTTCAACCCCTAATTGCCAGGCAGCTATTTCGGGATGCTTCTGCGCAGCGATTTCACTCTCCTTCTTGCAGACGCGACCAGAAAGCAGCGTGGCGCATGCACCACAGGGTACAACCAAAATCTGCCTGCCGCGGATATGACGTCCCTTTTCTAGAACGTGCAAACCAGTGAGGCAAGCGCGCAGGCAGTCACGAACTGCTCCTCGCGCATGCGCAACACGGCTCTCACACGTCACGCAAAACCGCTCTGGCTTGGCCACTGTAGATAACACTATATAAAGTTTGGATGCAGCTTCGACTGGTTTGACGTCGCGAAGGCTAATTAAACAGCGGAGCTGGTGGGAAGCGTCCCATCACTCCTGTTCAGCACATGTGCAGTTGTCTTCATGTGCGCTATTCCAGGTGCAGGCAGATGCAAGCTTTCCTTTGGCCAGAAGACGCACACTTGACCAGTCAGTTTGGTGGCCTGTTTTCGCTTCGTCATTGCCGATAATTCCAGAACCAAATAGGTGGCCCTAGGTTTTCCAGTATGGCTGTCATCCAGTTTTCCTCTGCTTCACTCCCTCCTCAGCTTCGCCTTTGCCCTCCTCCTCTCCACGTCTCTTCGACTTTTGAACTCGCCACACTAAGCATCCCTCTCAACCTGTGCTCTCCCTCTCTTCTCGCTAGGCTCTCGCAGCTGGGCTAAAGACGAGGATCGTCAGGGGGCTTTCATCTACCATCTCTCTGTTTAAAAAATGATACAGGCTGTGCTACTGCACAAACAAGGGGGTTAATGAGCAGAAGGCTTAGAAGTTAGACGCCAGACTCAAGTGCTTCGAAGGAAAATGTAAACATGCTTTCTTTTTTTACACACTTAATCTAGGTTAGGTAGCTTTATTTGTACGTACGAACTCAATATATGCAAAGCCACAACAATAACTTGGGCTGCTTCCTTTGTCGAAACGTTGAGGTGTCACGTTGCACAGATGTCTTCTAGACGCGTTCCATCATTTGATCCCAAAGCTGGACGCAACCGGGAAGGTGGTACTGACAGTTAGGGTGTCAATGGCTTTGAAAATCTAGTTGCCTACATAGGTGTCACAGTAAGAAATAAGTAGCTTTACAGGCAACATAGTTCGTGATCACCTGCAGCGCCGGCTGAAAATCCCCGTTTCCGTAAACCGTCTGTTGTGAGTGGCCCATCTGCAATGTTTTGTCGCACGTGAGCTCAGAAATCACGAGCCTATTCGACGGGGCTCTGTCGCTGGTCCACTCAACGGGGCACTACGATGCACTGTCACCTATCGGTTCTACACAGAACCAATCCTGCGGTCGTGGCAACAGTACAGCTTCGCTTACAAATACTCGCCACCATTTCATCACTCTCGTTTGCTTTTGAGCAGTCAAAATCACAAACTCTACACAGGGGGAAGTGCTAGATTGCACTGCCTCGCTAAAGTTCAATGTTGCTCGCCAAGCATTCGAAGGCCTTGAAATCACTTCGGGACCCTGTCCATCACTTCTGTCTAACACTAGCGGTGATTACAGTAAATGAAAAATGACCAAAGAGAAAAAAAAACTTTTGTCTACTCTGGTGTGGGTCTGGATAACATAAATAATTAAAATGTGAGAGCTATTCAGCCGTGAACACACAGCAAGGTTCACCTTCCCAGTGAATGTTGCGCCCCGGATGGCACAATGCGTGCTATAAACCTAGCCACGTGTTAAAGCTTATACCTAAGTAAATAGAGCAAACACGAAACTTTTTATTCGTTAGAGTGAAAACACTTGAGTGCGAATTGCGACTATCTTCTACCAGTAAGCGTATTATTGAAATGCTTTCGCAAGCAGTGCGAAAAATTACTTTGAATGGAAGCATGATAAACGAAACATTGCATTTGGAGCTAAAAAGGACGTTTCAATAAGTAATTTTGAAGGGAGGGAAAGTAGGACATTCATTTACGATACATGCATTCTTGCGAACCCACCCACAATCTAGTACCAGTCAAGAAACAACATGGGCTTCCTTTAGGTGTAAACATGTGACGAAAAATAGAAGAACCCCTTATCGATGCTCATAATCGCACATTTAAAACACTTTTGTGCAGATTATTGTTCTATCAAAATATTTTAATGCGCCATTGCTGGTATTTCAGCATAGTAATACGCAATGAGCCAAATAAATCGCACAGGCAACCATACATGAATCTATTGGCACGGTACCAAATTGTGAAAACTGCACATATTTGCGAGATTGAATAATAATAAAAACTTGCCTGTAACTATAGGGCTTTAAGCACACAACTTTGAAAGTTTAGGAACTAGCTTATGCGAATTGTTTACACTCTCATCGATTACCAATTTGTTAGGTGGAAAATGTCACGTGTAAGTGGCACGCTGACAGACCCAGAAGCAACAAATCTGTCAATAAATTCTTGTAGATACAAAGAACGATGATATGATGAACGGTCAGTCAAACAAATCAGCCTGGTCTCTCAAGTTCTCCACCAGTTGAGGTCGAAGCGAGAAGCTGGAGCCTCGCGTACAGCGCGCGTTAACGAACACCAAATGGTCGAAATTTCCGGAGCCCTCCACTGCGACGTGCCCCGTAATTACGACGTGGTTCTCAAACGCGAAACCCTACAGTGTATCGGAAGTTCATAAGTGAACGAACGATGCCCCTTCAAGAGAGTTTAGACAAAAAGGTGTTTAAAGAAGGAGAGTAATGAGGTAAATACCTGACGGTGGCTTCTTTGGAAAAATAACCGAGTAGCTCTGCAGCACAAACTGATGGATAAATGGTGCAAGGGCATGTCGAAAAACGGTTTCGCTTCCGTTGCGACACGCCATACTGAAAGCGGCTTTCTGCAGTCGCCCGCCGCGGGTTATCACTGATAAATCTCGCTGCGTGTGATGGTAAGAAATGCCGACTCATTCAGCTACCGCCGCCGGCCTCACCGGCGCGGAATAGCGCCTCGAGCAGCTGCTGTCTGGGAATCCGATGTTTGTGCACGTGTAGCGGCGTTTCGGCGGCTGCCGATAGCTTCCTTCTACTAACCAAAAAAAAAAAGGAAAATGTAGCCGCACAGCACGACGATTTCGTGCAGTAACGACAGCAAGGACAAGTGAGGTCGCGTATGGAGAAACGGGTGCAACCCGTCTGAGGAGTGGCGGGAGACAGCGTGTCAAGTCACGGTGCTAGCAGCCCTCGCAACTACCAACATAGACCAATTGCTTAATACAATTGAAGTTCCGGAAACCAGCAGCAGCCCGACTGGTATGACAATCACGACATTAAAACACAAAAGCTGTATGAAGCGTATAAGAGAAGCCACTTTGTGTATACTTATTTTATATTACGCATAGAACTGTCAAATAGACGACAGAGGTTCAAACGTCAGGTAACCTTTTAATGAGAAAGAGCCATCAACTCCGTGAGGTGAGAAGGTCAGTGCAGCTTAGAAGCCACGCCAATGTCCACCGCCGTCACGGGCGCCGTTTATCGTGGAAGCGCGTGAAGCACTTGAAGAAGTCCTTGGTGCAGCTCATGATGTGGCAATGGAACTCGAGCCGATCCTCATCCGACAGGCGGCGCATATAGTTGGCAATGATATTGCCGAACTGGTCGCACTCGTCGTAGTAGCCGGCCGCGGCTGGACTGAGGGACTGCAGGGACGGCAAGCTTTCGACTTGAGGCACAACGCTGTTGTCGATGCTGCTGCTGCTAGACGGGGCCACAGGGAGAAGTGGCTTGACGTCGAGGCTTGTCGAGGAGGGCCGAAATTTCTTCGCGGGAGTAGGATCTGACGGCGTGCCGATGATGTATTCGACGCCGTCAACCGTTTCGACCTCGTCGTTGGGCGCAGCCAGTGGCTCGGGAAGCACCGAGACGCTGTCAGGCAAGGTGCTCTGGTCGTCAGGTTCCAACACGATCGCGTCGGCGTCCTCCAACAGAGCATCATCGCCCTCTTCGTCCATCTCGAGCTGCGCAGTGCGAGACAATGGAAATGTAAAAAAAAAAGATGTAGACGTCTGCACAAACTGATAGAAAGCACAGAGTAAAAGGAACATCAACTAAAAAAACTTCATGAAAAGCAAACTTTTACAAAAAAAGTTTGAATAAATTCGTCTGGAAAACGTGAACACCATGTAAGCTGTCTTTTTGCGAGAGAATAAGTTCGAAAGATGCGAGTAGCAGATAGCAGACACGTCCGCTCACATGCAGACAATAAGCGGCGCACGGGGAGAAGAGAATGCACATCGAACTCAAGCCTCTCTCGTTTAGTGCTCGAGCAGGTGTAGTACAAATGGAGTGAGGGCACCGATCCTATAGTGGACTTGTTAAAGGCTGTGGCGAGGGCATAATGGCAATGTCAACAACGTATAGCTAGACGACTGACCAGCTGTTCTTTCTCGAAGTGAAGCAGGGGACTAATGACGGCGGTCCGGAAGGGCTCCGAATGAACCCGCAGGAAGCTGAGGCAGTCGAAAAACTTCCACCGACCGGTATATTCCAGCTCCCCGGTTTTGGTCCGTCCAGTCTTGTCCTTCAACTCGTCGTAGTATTGCCGCCTCTTGATGCTGTACACGTACCGAAGGTTGTCTGCAATACAAGAAGCGGACATTCAGTAATATAGGCAGTAAATTCTGATGAAACTACTAGCGAAAAGAGGCGTGTGGCACATGCCGTACATGTCCACGAAGCGGATGTTATCGAGAAGTCTGTTCGCGAGCTTAGCACACTGCGACTCGTTATGCAGCCATTTGTCTTTCGAAACCAAACTATGTGTGTGGCAAACCTGTGGAAACGTGGCTCAAGATATGAGAAAAAGCATGAATACTTGACATATACTAGAAGGGCTGTGCCTGTAGTCCAGTGAAATGGTGTCAAAAACGCCTCCGAAAAACAAACAGAAAAGAAACGATAACGAATGACGCCCCGTGAATGGGGGAAACGCGATGCCTGGAGGCACGAAGAAAGGCGCACGAGCCCACGGACGCTCGTGACATACCAATGAGGGCTCAAAATATCGAGCCAGCGCTCATGTTCTCCGAGAGGCGTAGATCGTAAAGGGGTCAGAATATCGCGCTCAAAAGAAGAGTTATAGCTCACCACCAGTGAACGGCCCAAGCATGGGGAAGTGCTTCTGGAGGTGGATGGCGAATCGGTTCCAGAGTCGACGCTTAAGTCGCAGGTTCTTGAAGCTTTTCGAGTCATTCTTCCAGAGGCAGGGGTTGCTCTCGATGAGGGCGAACAGCTCGGCCAGAGACTCGTCGCTGTGAGCAGGCTTGACCGTGGCGAGCCGTTGCTCGGCGACGCCGGACACCGTCGCGCTGCTAGAGCACTGTTGCATTGAACGGTCGGGAAGACTCGGCGTCATCCTTGCGTCTACACTGGACACCAAACTGGAGCACGGACGACGTTTCTTACGCATTGCTTGCGAAGGGAAGCTCACCGCTGCTCTGACGAAGGACGCACCTGCCTCGAGCTTTTTCCTCGCTCGGTCGGGATTCGCGACGCAGCTCCGCGGCGTGGTCAATAGCTTCAAAAAATGATATCGCGGTCCCCTTATCACTGGCGTGCCGTGATCACAGCGAAGGCAGTCGATGGCCGTCGGGGTGAAATGACTTGGAGATGCGCGCTTCACTCGTGCTCGTCATTCGGCCGCTTTTTTTCGGGCTCTCATCCTCCTTTTTCTCGACACGAATTCCCTCTCCACCTTCTATCTCCATTAGATGCCACTACAGCTACGCATGCTTCGCACCACGGGTATATCTCACACTTCGGTGCGCCGTTTTTCGCTCGCGTCATTCGAAATCCCATGCGTCACCCGAACGGCGCGGTTCAAACCAGTGCGTCTCGGAGGACGGAGGTTAACTGCACGTATACGCAGAGACCTCCCTTTTTTCTTTGTTTAGTTTGAGAATGTGCCAGCGCTGTTTGATCAGGCTCTTTCGTGTTTAAATGCTTCGCGGGTGAAAGTCTTAGGCGCTCATACGCTTCTCGTGAAACTCAAAGCTGCGTTTATCAAGCTTGTAGCCGCGTGACTTAGTCCGGCTGAACACGAACTGTGCTCAGTTTCTCAAATACGTAATTACCTCCCCCTGCTTTCATTTCAGTGTACATCACGTGAACTGGCCAGAATATCTCTCAGAGGCCGAGTTAATTGGCAGTTCGATGAGCCGTGGTACTTAATATGGTAATCAAGTTGCGCCAGTAACCGAATCTAAGGCACCTTCTCAGTGGTTTCGAAAGTTTCAATGAAAAATGCGGGGAGGCTAGGGTGCTTATTCGCCCTCATTATTTTTCTCGACGTTAATAGCGGTGCGCCTGATACACTTTTTGATGGACCGGAAGATATTTTGAAAGGCTACGAGGCAATTATTCAGAAATGGAGTACTCAGTGACAAAGAATCAGAAAAACCTGACACACTTCATTGCCTAAAGCCCTAAGATGCTCGTCAAGATGACTTCGGTAGTTTGACGCAGACGACGGGGAGGACGTCTATTTTTCGTGAATAGGATGTAATTAATTGTTCTTGTGAATGTCCAGCACACATTACTAGATCATTGCAAAAGTTCGAATGATTTTGCGTACTGCTCAAACAGCTTCCGTACAATTCGCGTGATTCCATGCTTGCTCTTTTGATATGAGTACATATTATTTTTAACTTTCCTCACAGATTCGCCCCACTGCTGCTGCTAGTCGAAAGGCCAAGCTCTACCAACTCGCTGCTTCTCAGTAAAAATACACGCGGTCACAAATCAGGTAAGCGTAGTCATTGTATTTACTTCTCGTGCACTCAATTTCACCACGGTTACATAGCTATGTAAACCGTCATGTTGGTATGGTGGTGATATAATCGTGCTTGGCTGCTCACGTGTAACTTACGGGATCGAATCCCAGCCGCACTGCCACATTTGGGTGGAAACGAAATGCTGGAAGCTAGCAATAATTAGGCGAATGTTAAAGAAACCCAGGTGGCCGAAATTTCCAGAACTATGATCGTAATCATATGATAGTTGAGGAACGTAAAACCCCAACATGATTACAGAACCATGTAAAACCGGGAAAGGTGGGCCATCAATAGGGGCATAATATATTTACCAGGTGACAATACCCTACCGTAAAACTTCTAGTGTCACTTGTACAAGCTCACAGCCGTCATTTTTCTTGTGTTTCTCAGGAAAGTGTTTAGCACACCTGTTGAATATTTTTTAAAAATGATTGGAGGCGGGTGGAAGTGAGAAACAGTGCTTGTTACATGTAGTGGACGGGTTAACGAAGCCTTTAACAATCTTTAATGCTAGCACAATGATCTTGTTATTGCGAAACACTCACCTTGATCGCTTAGCAGCCATACAGCGTGGTAATTGGTTGCAGCAAATTTGAGATGGGCTGGCAAAAGTTGACATACACGACGAAGACACTACTGTCGTCATGCTTAACTCACACAGCGTTACGGTGCTACGGTTGCAAGGTCGAGTTTCGATGATGCCGGATTGCAAAAAAAAAACAAATCACAGCATATCCACGGAGGGAATGATGATGAGTGGGAAGAAGCTTCAAAGGGTTTTATCGGCAAACCGTGAATAATCCGCTGGCCGCGTCAATGCGTTTGTCTGTCTGTCTGTCTGTCTGTCTGTCTGTCTGTCTGTATGTCTGTCTGTCCGTCTGTCTGTCTGTTTGTCTGTCTGTATGTCTGCCCGTCCGTCCGTCCGTCCGTCTGTCTGTCTGTGTGTCTGTCTGTTTGTCTGTCTGTCTGTTTGTCTGTCCGTCCGTCCGTCTGTCTGTCGGTCGGTCGGTCGGTCTGTCTGTCCGTCCGTCCGTCTGTTTGTCTGTCTGTCTGTTTGTCTGTCTGTCCGTTATTTGTCTGTCTGTTCCTCTGTCTGTCTATCTGTCTGTTTATTCGTCTGTCTGTCTGTTTATCCGTCCGTTCATTTGTCTATCTGTGATGATATTGTGGAATCGGCACGTGATTTTTCATTTACGACTTCTGTATTCTAGGTAACTCTAGCTTCGGTGATCTAGCTCAAACAACTTGATCGTAATTGGTGATCAAACTTCAGCTTATTGTGATTCGGGGACTGGTGTTACTCCGCAAAGCGGATATCACGACTAGACCTGAACGATGTGAGTTGACATGATAGTGCCATAAACGTAAAATTTTTCCGGTGAGTGTTTTGTGAAAGCATGTTTGCATGCGTTCCGTAAAGGTGCTCAAACTATATGTCTTGTTCATGATGAAACAAACGCAAAAATACACACACTCAGAGAGGACACAGACAAGCGCTTACTAGCAACTGAAAATGTTATTTCGAAGCGAACACTAATAAACACGCCCAACTGGCAGTCATCTTATATATCTTGCGCTCTGGTAACACGGTAACGTGAAAAGTGCACGGAGAAGCTAAAAGCTTTCAATATTATTGTTATTATCATTTCAACGCTCCTGTTACATGGTGGGCGTGTGCGAATGCAAATGATATCGGTGTTGTTTTGAAGCGGCCTCCATGATCACTTTATGGAATCACTTGAAGAGCACTTTTGAAAACAAGTGATGTCTGCCATATTATAGTGCTGCAATTGGCAAGTTGTGCAATAACATGATTAACAAGCACCCCAAGGACGGATATAGATAATAAGGAAACAACGTGGGCCTGGTGCATTTATTCTCAATCGGAAATCACGAATGAACACGACGCTGGTGAGTTTTTTATCTCATCAATTTTACTCGTATATTTGTTCAAGAATCTACATAACACATCATGTTTCTTGTGATGTCTAGTTGCTTGGTTTTATTCCTACTGTGATTAGGAAAGAAAAGCTCGGTTAACATTTCCATATTTTACAGCTCACTCCAAGACATTTCTTCACACTTTCATCGCGCCCTTTCTTCCCCAGCTTATCCCACGGCAAAACACCCTTCTCGCCCAATGCTGGTAGGAGTGAACAAGACCAAAAGCATTTTCACGTCTACTTTCCTTTCTGGATTCCCCGAGATATGGACGCTATAGTATACAGATGAATGAAATTTTACTTAAACAACAATTGAAACCAGATCCATGAGTTGCTTCTTCAGTCTTCAGCGTAATGCCCTCGCATCCCCTAATGACGACCAGTGCGGCTGAATCCTCGCGTGGCAATATTGTTTCTATTCTCGCTGTCATCGTTCGGGCGGAAGCGATAAACGTCGGGGGGAAGCAGCCACGTCGGCACTTGAGTATATATTTTCTTTTTTTTTCCTTCAGCGTAGTCAGTGAAGCGGAAATAAGCAGTTGATTGTAACTTCCGGGTTCCGTTATTACATGTTAGACAAGTGACGTCGTCAAGAGGGCGCTGCTCAGACGTGCCTTTTGCTCGGCTCGGCCGAACTGTCTTCATCTGCGCATTGCGTAAGTGGAAGAGATGACTTCTTGAATCCTGTCAAGGATGACTAGTAGGCAACATTTGGTGCCCACTTTCCACAGAGACTAATCAGTAAATTCGTTCCGCTGACAAAAGACACATCTTTGCTCACATCATGGCACGAGTGCCTCGAATAATATCTTAATAGGTAATCATATTTCACTGAGACCTTTCCCGCAGTAACAACCGTCGGGATTGATTGAGTGATTGATTGATACGTGAGGTTTAACGTCCCGAAACCACCATATGATTGTGAGAGACGCCGTAGTGGAGGGCTCCGGAAATTTCGATCACCTGGGTTTTTTTAACGTGCACCCAAATCTGAGCACACGGGCCTACAACATTTCCGCCTCCATCGGAAATGCGGCCGCCACAGCCGGGATTCGATCCCGCGACCTGCGGGTCAGCAGCTGAGTACCTTAGCCACTATACCACCACGGCGGGGCGGCCCTCATCTTCCTCTTCTGCTTCGCTTTCCGAACATGTGCTCCCGGCCCGCGCTCTACCGCTGCGCCGATTTCTCCGGCGTAGGATGTAATAACTCGGATAAGCGAGAAAGGCAGTACCGAGAAAGAAGTAAAGAGAAAGACAAAAAAAAAAGGAAGGAAGGATAGAAAGAGCGAGAAAGCGAGAGAGAGATAAAAAAACACACCCACACAAGAAAGACAGAGAGAAAAAAGAGAAAGAAAGCGAAAGAAACAAAAAAATTGAGAGAAACGAAAGGCCACACAGTTGCGTGGTTACTTCAGTGCTGACATCACTAGTGTGAAGCTACCTCAATTTTTTTCAGCATTGCCGATCCATTTTTAGCAGTAGCTTAGATGAAACTCGAACTCTATCAAACTTGAAAGCAATCCCGCGACTTCTGACGATCAGTCACCACTTCGGAAATAACGTGCATAAGAAAGAGCTCTTCGAAGCGCAACTTTAGGTTAGGTAAAATAATGTTACCGGGATGTGGATGTTTTTATCCGTTTCGGAACGCAGTCACCAACCGCTGGTAAAGAGGCGATCTCATGGGACCTCGTGCAGCTTGACGAAGCTACATGACCACCGCAGTCTCTACAGTGGTCACAGTCATGACGCACTCGATGGTGTGCGCCGTTCCTCGAATGAGCAATAAAAGACTGCACTGCTTCCAACCACTGCCATTTGCAAAGAAATGTTTATA